ATATATATATATATATATATGTGTGTCTAGATTTCATTTTTGAAAAATAATAACGCAAAGTTACACATAGTATGAAATAATAATTATAGCAGAATAAATATTTTTCATGGCTTAATAACTGTAAAAGATTTTCTATACTTCAGGCTCTCAGTTTCCTCTGAAGAATCCGTACCTTTGTTTGGACCCACCCTACCAAGTTTTCCAGTGTTCAGAAACTTACAGGAATTCCGAGAGTTTTTGCTTGTCAAATGTAAGTAATATAGATAAGAATGGACTCCCATAGTCATTGTGCACTTTAAACACGAGTTACGTTGGGCCATTAGCGGTCCCGATTCTCTAATTGAAAGGAAAAATTACTAATGGCAATCATAGAGGAAACAAGAACAGTTATAGTAACGTTTTAATGCTACACGTGGGCACGGGAGTTTTTCGTCATACAATGATATACAATTGTAGATCCAATGCAAAAGTTACGGTGTGCTTAATATTTCTGTCCAAAGCTGTATATATGTATATATATGCTAAGTCTCTTACAAATGTGAAGAGAACCATAAAGGGGAGTTCAACCTTCTTTGTAGGAAGGCATAGCACAATTTCCTCGTTATCATTCTCAAGCCGCACGGATTCGAATCCCGTTCACCATATCCTAAATTCGAAAGCCAGCCCGATCTCCGATAGAGCTAGGTCTAAAGCCCAACATGTCTTTCCGACAGATATCTTCTCCTGTCCGTCAGTTGCTTTGACTCTGTCATCAGTACATTCAGGAGTGAACATTGACGCTCTACCTTGTTGGGATGAGAGAACCACTATGACTCAAGACCAACTCGAGAAGAAAGGAGGATGAAAGAACCACTATGATTCAATACCAACTCGAGAATAAAGGAGGAGGAAAGAACCACCATTATTCAATACTTCAACTCGAGAAGAAAGAAGGAGAAGAGAACAACTATGATTCAAGACTTCAGCTCGAGGAGAAAGAAGAAGAGAGAACCACTATGATTCAATACTTCAACTCGAGAAGAAAGAAGGAGAAGAGAACAACTATGATTCAAGACTTCAGCTCGAGGAGAAAGAAGAAGAGAGAACCACTATGATTCAAAACTTCAACTCAAGAAGAAAGAAGGAGAAGAGAACCACTATGAATCAAGGATTCAGCTCGATAAGAAAGATGGAAGAGAGAACCACTATGAATCAAGGATTCAGCTCGAGAAGAAAGAAGGAGAAGAGAACAACTATGATTCAAGACTTCAGCTCGAGAAGAAAGAAGGAAGAGAGAACCACTATGATTCAAGACTTCAGCTCGAGAAGAAAGAAAGAGAAGAGAATCACTATGATTCAAGACCAACTTGAGAAGAAAGAAGGACATTCCACTCCATCTGTCATAGTTGCTTTTAGTATCGAGGGAATTTTGTACATTGGAGCAGAGCAGGAATCGATTCTATTGATATCCTATAAACGTGTTGTCTCACATACCGCAGCTTTCGGGTCAAAATGACAACACGTAAATCTTGAAAGAAAAGAATGAACTTTTCCCATAACGATAGATGAAAACAGCGCTTCTTCGCATAACAACACAGCCAATTTCCTCTATATTGTTAATGTTTTTTTTTTTTACACACATTTGTGGTATGTGTGTTAACACATACATCACTACGTTATTAAGAACTATATTTGCGTAATAATACACTAAGAAATTGTTTTACTCCACATTAAACATTTGTATTAAACAAACGAACCCACAGTGTAACAGAAAAAGTAATTTTACTGGCATGTTGTAGATCGATATAATATTCTTATGTTATTCTAGTATAACCAAGTAATTCCCTATTACGACTTTTTACTGTTAGGTTGTTTATTTTAAGTTAGAGCATTCTTGGTTATTCTGATTACACTGTGAATGATAGATTGTGTAACAAGTTATGGATTACTTGAATTCATTAAGCATACAATCGATAGAAAATGTAGCTCTATCAAATGTCTATAAAAACTTTATCGACCAGAACTAGCCTAGTGGTTAGAGTTTCAAGATGCGGATGGAATGATCCAAGGTTCGAGACGTGAAGCCGCTGAACACTCTTCGCACTTTCTGCTGTGGGCGCGTTAAAAATAAGAGTCAATCTATTTATTTGGTTCAAAGAGAAGGACAAAGTCCTTATGGCGGCGGATGCTGATAACTGGCTGCATTTCTTCAGAACAAGGAATGGCTATACTTTAATCCTGGAGGTGTCTGACCTGAAAATTTTGTGTATGCACGCACAAGGTGCCTTTCAGGTTGAAAGTTATATAGATATATAAGCTTTATAATTTTATTTCCAAATTTATTTAAGAAACGATAATATAAACACCAAAAAATCGACTCATCAAGTAATAAACTTGATATAAATATTGTCCTGATACTTTAAAGTTTACAAAATGCAATGGTCAAATCCTCTGGTTTTGTTAAACCTGCTAATAATTAGATGTTTCCATATGTGTTCAGAGAGGACTGATCTTGTTCTTTGATTTGTCCTAGTTGAGGGTTCTTTACAGAGACTGGAATTTCGTGAAACTAGTCTGACTCAATGTCAAATATTGATTCCAAGACAAACTGGATCTTGCGTTTTATTACCTGTGATATTCGCAGTTTTGATGTTGAGAAGAAAAAAGCTATGCGTGTTTTTTGTATTTGTTATAGTTTCTTTTCAATTTCTGGTTAGGAAAAGAAGAAATAAAACCGAATCTCTTAACACATGTTCTCACATTATAACGAAAAAACTAGTAAGTCTTATATAAAACATTCTTCGAAAACGCTAGTTTTTGACATTCCTAAGCATTAGATTAGAAAATCCATTCGTTGCAAGGATTCCATTCAAGTTTGTCACGAAATTTGATGTTGATATCTTGAATTTATATTTCATTTTCTTCAAATTTCTCGTACCTTCTTATTCAGATAAATTGAACGATGTTGTTTCACTAGTTACTTTACTGACCCTGTTGGTCATTTCTATCTTGATGTAACTTACATTAACAAAGCCTGTTATTATTTAGAATTATAAACTAGCTATTTTCTCTCAAATTAAAGATATTTAGTTATTTTGCACTTACATTTACAATTACGTTTTATTTTTCTGACATTATGTTTGAAGGGTTAAATTTTCAATAAATATCAGTAATTTTGTAATTAAATGTCATTAATATTTCTTAGCTTGGTCTTTATATTTCTAGCTGTAAATCCGAGAGTTAATGGTTTGCAGTTTGTTGCCTTAAAAACGCGCTGTACACTTTTCGACCAGAGGTGCTTGTATAAGAGTAACCGTGAAATCTCACTATTCTGTCAAACAAGAATAGCCCAAAAGTTGGTGTTGGGTGCTGTTGACTAACTACCTTTCTTCTAGTCAATAGATTCAAAATTAGGTACGGTTATGCGCAAATAGCCTTTTGTGTAGCTTTACGCCAAAATATTCTTAAAGAAACAAACCCATTAGCCTACGAGATCAAAATTAAGGGTGGTTATGCGCAACTATCCTTTTGAAACAAACAACCATAATATTTCTGTTGATTTTTCGTTATACAAGTAAAAGGTCCAGGGCTAATATTTATTATAATGTGTTATACAGCTGTATGCAGTAATAAATAACGCGTATTCTACAAGGCAAATTAATCGTTTTGCTTTTTGACAAAAAAAAGTCTTATAAAGCTCTAAAATTGGGTTTCGATACCTGAAGTGGGCAGATTACAGATAGTCTATTGTTTAGATTTGTGCTTGAAATGTTAAACAAACAAAAAATCCCTACAAGTCCACTGACAAATCTAACATTCGTTTGCAGAAATTAATGATAACAAGAGAGGAAAACTGACGCCATTTTATAAAACAAAGAACACTCATTATGAATTTAATAATACAAGTAGTAATTTCCCTAGATCATCTTAATATGTGATATTAAAAATGATATCAAAATTCCCAATCTTTAGAAAGATGATTACAATTACTATCTATTACTAATACAAATTACTATTTATGGCACATGACACTGATTTTACCTCATTTTTATAATTACACATTTGTCATCTCAATAGGAGAATATCCTTGCAATTCGAAAGAACCATGTATTTGTCATTACTTGTAGAAGTTTCATAGGAGGCAGCGTTTTTCTGATTAAGAAAGAAAGGATGAATATTTTTTATTTGTATCACTTGTGGAACAATTGTCTTGTAATTTATATGGGTCATAATTATAGTGGCCCGGCATGGCCAGGTGGTTACGACGCTCGACTCG